AGCAGAAGCACAGCTGTGACCCTGCCAAAGCAGCCACTACCTCTGCGCAGCACGCCTGCCCTCTCACTTAGCCAGCCCCTGCCACAAGCGCAGCACGTGGAGCGTGGATGGAGGAAGAAGACACAGTATTGGGGAAAAGCCAAGCCTCTGCAAAACCTAAGGGGTGCATGGCAGAGAAAAGCATTCTGGTCTAGCAGCAAAATGTACTTTAATTCCAGTTCTGTGATATAATGCTTTGATGCCAGAGAAAAAACAGTACCAAGGAAGAAGACAACTGCAGCAGCCCCAGGAGTGAAAGATAATGCAGAAATTATGTGAAGTGTTTTCTTCTTAGATAATGGGCAAAGAATAGCTACTAGGAGCTTTATAGCAACAGTAGGAGGTATGTAGGAGAGAGATAGCAAGACCAGAGACAAGTGTCTGGGGAAGTAAAATGCAAAGAAGAGAAGAGCGATAGATGGGGATGGAGGGTATGGAAACAGGAGGGCAGGAAGGAGGTTATGTGAGATCCAGGCTCAGCTACACAGGAACAAGCAGTGCTGGTAGAGAAGAAGGTTGGCATGGACAGGAGTGCTTCAGGGAGGTAACCATAAGGAGGAGAAGAAGGAGGAGGAGGAGGAGGAGGAGGAAAGTCCACGAAGAGAGACGGGTTTGGAGGGAGAAGCAAGAGGCCCCCAGGGAGGGGAGAGTTTGCACTGATGAGTGAGAGGCACTCCAGGACTGGCATGAGGTATGCTTTGCTATTGCTCTGAATGCTGTAAACATTTTGGTTTTGTGTCTATCAGTGAACATTCAGTTCAGTTTGATACATGTGCTCTTACGGGTAACTGGAAGCCTAGCAGAGTTTTACGTCTCTTACTACTAGTCAAACTTACACGCGAGGCAAACACAACACTAGCTAAAAATCTCATTTTATGTCATTTATGCCTAATTCTCCTATTTTAACATGCACATCTATGTCTCGGAAAAGCTTCTCTAGTAGGAGACACTAAATAACATACACATGAAGTCACATGCACGCTTACCCACCCACACCCGCATACACACACACCTATTTCCCTCCCCTGCTTAGACTAGCAGGACTTTGCCCTTCACACCTTCCCAGCATGGAGGCCAGGGACCCATCGATACATTAACAAGTCCAGTAAAAGTGATGGAAATCATTCCAAACCTGGCTGACAGGCCAAAGCAGAAGAAAGAAACTCAAGCAGATTCTGGGTTTTGCATCTGCTTCCAGAGTTAACAACATCTGAAACTTATTGAAAAGGCCATTTGTAAACTCTTCCCTTTTTCTGTCAAAGGACTTGGGAGCTGACTGGGTATGTGTCAACAAACACACAGAATAAAAAGAGCTGAGCGAAATTATTTTTTTCCCCTCTCTTCATGTGATGGCACACTCTGACATTACTTGAAACAGGAGGAAAATTTTGGAGGTGTGTGCTTGTGGAGAGGGGAAAATGGGGTTTGTAAGTTATGAATATCCCTTTCACATCAGTAAGAGATGAATCAAATATAGGATATTTGTCCTTGATGGGGATTAGTCATCACTCAGTGCTTTCTGAAGCTTTGGCTCAGTCATTATTTCCTTAATCAGCCCCTGTTTTAAGGGGAAGAGCTATAAGCTGCCTATTTTAATTCACTTCAGACTGACATTTGGCATAAAAGAAGCAGCTGGTGCCAATTTCTTGTTTAAAAAAAAAAATACTTTAAATAACTAGTCTGCTTTCCTGCAAGAGAGACAAACTGTAAGAGCAGCCACAAAAATAACCATGATAGACTCATATGCCTCAGACAATACTTTTGCTCCACTCTGTGCTCTAGGATGTTTCCCGTGGAGGATATTATCTGGCACCAATTTAATGGGCAAAACACTTCTCCTACATCAGCCTGCATGAATGCAGTTGCTGTCACAACTGCAGCAACGCCATCTGTGTGTGTGCCTGCTCAAAGCAATTCCCCAGGTCAGTGGAGGAGAGAGGGAAGCTTGGTTTTTACAGGGTGTTGGCTACTTCAAATTTTTTCGATGAATTCTGACACGAAGTGAAAGGATGCCAGCACTGACACTGGAGGAGCTTGCTGAGAGATGTTACATCCTGGGCTTTCTGGAGTCACACTCTGAACAGGACCAGCCTTTGTCACCATCAGGGAAGCCTGGGAATTGTCCTTACTTCTGAGTTTCTGTTCCTCATTCCTCGACAAAAATGTCTTGGTTCTGCTGTTTCTTCATCGCCTGGTTGTCTCTGCAACCCAACTGCCATGGGTGCCTGTAGGGCACTTTGCTGAAAAGCCTTGTCCAGGATGCATCAGCTGGCACTAGAGGTCAGCATCATCCAAGCCACTCAGAAGGTGTATTGGCAGCTTTAAGAGAAATACCACAAGGCAGTTGACATGGCCTTCTGCCTTCTCTTTTAAAAGCAATGACTGCATAAGCCTGCTGGTGCTGTCTCTCTCCAGGGCAGCACTGGGATGCTTTTTGCATGTACAGTCAAGAGGAGGCTGAAACGGAGGAAGGCAGGGCCAGACAAGGTGGCCTCCCTTCAATCCCTTCCAACGCAGTTTGTTTGACACCACAGCATTGGGACACTGAGCTGCTGTGTTGCAGCAGTTGGATAACCAGTCACTGTGCCATTTTGCAGTCGCAGTGACACCAGGTACAACTGGCACTGCAGGCCATCTCAAGGGGAGCTATTTCAGCCAAAGCAACCTGTGCCCCTGAGAGATCCCAGTCAGTCCTTTGTTATGCAGGTGTAGCAGACATAGTGTTTCTTGGAAAGGAGAGTTCTTCCAGCCCCTCCTCACAGTCAGTGGCTTTGCATCCTCCCTTGCAGGTGAAGCACTGAGAGTGTTTCACGGCAATGTGGGATGATTTGCCCTCCTCCTTCCATTTCGCCTATAGCAGGAGGGGGCTGTATAGGCAATGTGACTCTGTTCCACTTGGTATAGCCCGCATACCACCAGGGACAGCTACTGGATGCCTGACTCTATATCCTTCGCTTCTGTCTTTGACTCCTTCCAGAGCATTGCACAAGTTTCCCCAGATACCTGTCCCACTAGACCTTCTTTGCCAGGTACCTTATTTGCCATAAAGCTACAGGCCCATAGACAGCTAAAGTCACTGCTGGTTGAGCCACTGCATGATGAATCTGGGGCACTTTCCAGTGCCCACCTTTCACTGATCTTTTCCTACAAAACAGCTGGAGAATTCTAGAACCGGGTACTGAAAAGCAGGTTTCCCTACTAAACATAAATTTTCCACTTGTACCATATTTAGACTTTAGTGTCTCAGAGACCACAGGAATATACCTCCAAACTAAAACAAACATGCTTACCATCCCTATTTTGATCCTAAACCTGTTTGTCTAATGTCCTGCACAGCATCCTTACAAAAAGCCTCAAAACCTGCTTCCTACCTAATGCATAGACAGTAACTTGTAATATCCAAGCAGGCTTTTTGTACCTCATTCTGAACACGTTATGCTTAGCTTTAGCATTCAGTCTACTTAGTTTACACCACATACGCTAAATCTTTATCACCAGCTTTCTGATGTATCAAACCTACCCACTGCCCTAAACTAGAGCAGAGTTTTACAGCCTCTGATCTGTGGGTGATTGAGAGAAGGAAAACATCCATGGGGTCGCTTTCCAGGCCTTCATAAAACTAAGTTAATAGACCTCTGCTCTGTAGGCTCAAATTCACAGACAGGCTGTTTACTTCTCCACTAGAAAATATTGCAAAAGTCTGACAGCCAATAAGCTGGAAAAGCAATGCCATAGAAATGGGCCCTTCAGATGGTATTATTGCACAGCACAGAGGAGGTGCTACACAACTTGACATCTGCACAGTCTTCTCCTGCAGCTGGCTACCCAAGCTATGGGAATAGGGCCAAAGTACACTTCACACACCACTTCACACCGGGACGCTCGTCCTGCTCACTGCATGCTTCCCTGTGTCCTGTTTTTAAACAAGCACCATGCAGCAGGGTCTGTCTTTAGTAGTTCTTTACATGGCATTGAACCCACAGTGGACAATCGGTAGGTAACAACAGTCAATAATCTGTTAATAACAAAAATATAATTGTGATTTTCATGTTACCTCTCCCTGCCATGCGCTGGCCAGGTACTACATGAAAAATGCTATCTGCCATAGCAGGCAGGTCTTGTGCTCTTCTTACATCTCAGCATGGGGCAGATGGGACATTCCTTCTCTTGACTCTTTCGCAACAGCTGGCAGGTCATTCCCAAGAAGCCACCAAGCCTGTTAATGTCTCTGGCGGCCAGGAGCTTCTTTGTGTTAGGTTTTGGTACAGTGCCTAGCACGATGAAGCCTGAACGACGACTGGGGTCCTGAGGGTGAACTACAGTACAAATAAATAGTATTAATGAAAAACAATCATTCGCACTAGAAGACTTGCCTGACCAGGTCTAGCGAGAGTTTTTGGGATCACCTTCCTCATAAGCAAAACTCATCTCCTTGACAGTCATATGGAAAATAACTTAGTCTCCATTCATGAAAGATAAAGGGCTGTGACAAGGTAGCAGCTGGTGTCATATGGTGTGCAACCAAAATGGAAAGGTGAGCTGAGTTCTCTGATGGTTTCCACTCTGGGAAGCAGCATGAATCCCATGCCTTTGCTTTCTCCCTCCCTCCCCTCTCTCCCTCCTCACGGTCTCTGGATCCAGACCCCAGCAGCCAGTGTGGGAGACAATGCTTTGGACTAGATTTGGCTTCACAAGTTTCAGAACTGCCCTTAGGGCCCCTCCAAACACAGGGGAGAGGTGAGAGCCAGGGATATGTCTGGGAGGATGGAAAGATGCAGTGGCGTTATTTACATACAAACCAACGTAGTAATTTTAAGGGAAACCTGACTTCCCACAGATGACCCCATAACTAGAGAGGATTGTGGTTTTGTGCTAGAGAGAGGCAACAACTGCAAGATGCTACCACTAACCAAAAAAAGCACAGAAACTCAGAGAGTCCTAATACCACATTCTGGATTACACTCTGGAAGCCTCCTCTTCCCCTTCTCCCTCTTTTTTCATTCCCACTGCTTTTAATACCAAGAAAGTTTCACATTTAGACATGGGTTTTGGTTGTTGTGGGAAGCACGTGGTTTCTGATGGCCCCATCGCTGCTCTAGCTGAGCCTCCTCTGGGTTTGAGAGAGTAGGTCTGTGTATATTTTGGATCTCAGGAACCTGGGGTAAGAGTCTTTCTCCATCAGGCTGTGCACCTTCCCCTGAGCTTGGTCAAAGCAAGAGAGGGAGGGCTCCTGCATATTTCTTCTTGTCAGCTCCCGTGTCTGGAAGTCTATGTTCACCTGGGAAAAGTAGCAGAAGAGAGTTTGGTACTGAGTGACCAGTTTTCTTGCTTCTAACGGTGCATTTCATCTCAGCCATGGCTGTAAAAGCAGCAGCAGAACCAAGGTCCTACCTTTGCCCATGCCTAAAGAGCCCCCCAGACTCTGCAGGGTTTAGCGATCCAGTGTTACAAAACCTGCCCCAAATTTGGAAAAGTTGAACTAGATTTATATTGATCTGAGCAATTCTGAAATCCAACTACTTTTATTCAGGCTCTTAAGCACAGGTTTATGTAGCATATCTTCTAAAAATGCTGACTCAGCCTAACCTCTCTCCTGTTGACCAAGTTTCCTCTAGTCACTTTATTCTTCACTACATGCCCAATATAAGGGTGAATGAACTTTTAGCTGGGTTTAAACTATTAGTACATTCTTATTAAATGTTTTAAACTCTATTGTTATAAAATAAATTGTGTGATTTTTCCCATAACAACTTCGTGTTACAATATCTGGAGCAGGGACTTGAAAAAATAAACCACCCTCATGTTATGACTGCCATTTGTTTGCAAAGCCAGCAACCTGAGTTTTCCTGTTTTCTTTCCCT